GGGTTGTAAGGGCACATGATAAGGATTAATAAGGATTAATAATTAAATAATAATTGTAATATTTTTTAAAAAAATATGAAATTTTATATTCAAAAGATAATTTTTGTTTTTAATTTAAAATAAACTAATAAAAATTTAACATATGACATCTATAATTAAAATAAAAGTGAACTTCATTATTTTTAAGATGAAAAATAATAATTATTAATCAATAATTACTTAATTATTGCTTCTTAGATAACTCTTTCAACTAAAACTAATTGGATAATAACTTGCATAAGACAAGAATGGTACCTGGAACTAATGGATGATATATAGTGAACTATTTTATAATTTGAATTATATTGAATTATAAAATTAAGATTGTAAGATGTGAACTATCTTTATGTTTAAAGAATTTATCTAACGTAAGACCGGAAGAAATAAAAGAAGAGTACCCCTAAACCTTTTAGCAAACATAAACCCACTTAGTAGGTGGGACTCCATCATCACTATGCCAATTATTATTATTATATAGTGTGATATAATTTCAACTGTATAACTACATTTTTTCCATTCAAATTTTATGAAAAAATGAGCTCAAACAACACTTGCAAAATCTCTAATTAGGCCTAACAATTGTAAGCAGAAACCCTAGTGTTGTTGACTAGATGATTCATCAGCAAAGCTTTAAGTTTTGGTGTCTAGTTTAGAGTTTAAATATAACATTACAGAAATAATAAATTAAAGGTTGTTGTAATTGTGATAATTTTATAGGTTGCGTGCATGTGGGGGCATATATAGAAGTGGGAGGCAAAATCTTTTGAACTGTGTCGGAGGGAAAACCAGATAAAAGAGAACAATTTAGACTGACAATTTGTCTATTTCTTACAGTATCTATGTGTTTTGTTTTGAAATGCATAAAAGAGCAGAAGAAAAATGAATAATGTAATAATATTCTAAGTTTCTAACTTGGAATTGTGAATATGGACAATTTTGAGGAGAGCATAAAATATTGCATAGGCAGAAGAGAATAATATGAGTCTGGAAAAGTGTGTTTGGTCGGGGCAAATATCTATATGCTTTGTTTCTTTTCGGTCCAATAACTTTCTTTTTTATTTTTTTTTTTGACTGTCTCTATTAGACAATTTTTTCTTTTTCTTTTTCTTTTCTTTTTTTTTTCTTTTTT